GTGATCAAAACCGAAAGTTTCTGTGATGAATGCCCTTGTACTGTTCACCATGTAAGAATTTATTCACTATGTAAGAATTCATTCACCATGTAAGAACTTGTTCATTATGCTTCAGAAGATTGGAGACTGATGAGAATTAGGCTTGAGATGGATTAATGATTGTGCATTGAGCATTGACCCCCCTATATAGAATTTTATTGTTGTTAACAACCATTTGATCAATAAATATGAGAGATGCCCTCTCAAAAAAAAAAAAATATGTTGACCATAGTTCTACATTTGTTGGTGTTGAAAGCCACCTATGAGACTGTACAGTCTTCAAAATTAGAAGTTTAGAGCACTGTGTGGGATCATATGGTGTGATCTTATTAATATCAAATGGTTACATAGATTGCTACATAGGAATGTCTGAAAGGATGGTCACCGAAATATTAACAGTGACTTCTGGTGATTTTTACACACTTCATGGTATTTTTCTGGATTAAAAAAAAAGTACCATTTTTATAAAAACAACAGGCTCATAAATTATGACAGACTCAACTTTCTATTCCCAAAATGCATTTTATTTATATTTAGTTTGACTATCAAAGCCTGCTCGCTGTTTCATTTGCTTTGTTTTCTTGTTACTTTGATAACTAATGTTACAAATAATTTGTTTGGCTTTTGTCCTGGTTCCCTCACATAAGTTTAAAAAATCCTCAGAATTCCCTTTGTTATGCTAATAAGGTGACTATAAGTGGTCCCCCAAGAGAGCTTCGGGATTGGGACTTTCAGCCAAAGACCTCCAGGGAGTGGAGGGAAGGCTGGAAATCGAGTTCAATGCTCTGGCCAATGATGTCTATCTACATAACGAAGCCCCAACAAAAACTCTGGACACTGGAGGTCAGTGGAACTTTCTGGTTGGCGAATACATTGATGTTGGAGAGTAACATGCCCTCCACAGGGAGAGGGAATGGAAGCTCTGTATTCCCTCCCAGGTCTCATCCTAGTGTATCTATTATAGCAAAACTGTAATTGCTTTCCTGAGCTCTGAGTCATTCTAGTGAATTATCAAACCTGATGGAGGTTGTGGGAACCTCCAGATTGGTAGCCAGTTGGTCAGAGGTAGGGGTGGCCTGGCAGACACCCTCCATACCAAGACTAGCAGCTAGAATCTGAATTAGGAGTGGTCTTGTGGAGGATTCTGCATTTAACCTGTGAGGTCTGCACGAACTCTGCGTAGTTAGTGTCAAGATTGTATTATAGCACATCCAATTGGTATCAGACAAGTTGGGTTGACAAAGAACAGTAATAATCCTAAGTAATGATATATTATTATTTTCTATAAGTGATGCTTTTGAGAGTAAAACAGATGTCATAATCTGGTAAACCACCAATAGCTTTGTTGATCAGATTCTGTGTTTTTTCTACACAATAAAATGCAAGAAATGTTTAATCTTCTTGGGTATCCAAATGTCTCTATCTGTGCCATTCATGCAGCTCTCCTAAGCTTTACTCCACACACAGTGTACCTCTATTAAGGCACTCATTTCTGTGCTGCATTTGCCTATGATTTTCTAGCACATGCAGGATTATGAATGCCAAAGTAGGGACCACATCTTATCCACCTTTGTATTGTCAGAGCCTACCACAACGCATAGCAGAATGCTCCACAAGTTTGGAGAACAAAGTAACTGTCCATAAAAATCACTTGGTAAAGGAACATGCTTGAGTGGGTACTCTGGTTTCGAAACTTTACAATATAGTCATTTTAGACTTCTCAACTAAATACTGAGTCTGGCAGATCAAAGAGACAAGTGACCTCTGCAGGGAAATAGTAAATAAAGTAAGAATTCCTTTAAACACAGTAAGAACAAAGAGGATGGTGTCAAGTATTCTTTTTCTCTTAGATTGTTGTGGTGTCTTATTATGACAGACCATTAGAAATCCACTTGGAAGAACTAACTTTTCTCTCTAATCAGAATGCAATTATCCTTCTTTTAACTTACTCACCTTTCAGTCTAGCGTCACCCCCAAAGGCACCACAGCCCCAGTTTCCTGTGGCTACTGCAGAAAGGTTCTCTGAAGAAACTCCAGGACGGAAAAACCCACAGTAAGCCTGCAGGATGAAAGAAATATCAAAGCACATGAGTGACTAGGCACTAAACAGTACTTCTGACTGATGTACAAGGATCACTATCCACTATGAAGCTTATGTTCTCTCTCTCTTTCTCCTTTCCTTAGGGGCCAAAGTAGAGGGAAAAACAGAAAATCCTAGGATTATACAAGTAAAAAAGTATGAAATGATCAAGTCTTTATTTGCTTTGAAGCCCTTCAAGCAATAGTCTCTGTTGCTTTCTCTGATTCAAACAAATATAAATGGAAATATCAGAGATATTTCAAGAACTGATAGGATTCCAATTACAAATTACCAGAAATTAAAGGAAGGAAAAAGCACTTAAGATACTGCTTTCTTTGAAGGCTTTTGATCACCATTTTTTCATTAAGGTAAAGAGTTATTACTATTACACTTCCTCAGAGCACTCACTCTCTGAATTTTTGGGACTAGATTAATAACTGCAATTAGTTTTTCAGTGTGTTTCCTGCCACTTAAATGGTTAGCAATGAACATACAACTATATATAAAAGGGATTCCTATATCTGGTAACAAAACAACCATTAAAATACCTTTCAACTACAAGATTCTCTATTTTCACAGCTCTGTCTTAAGCTATAATATTTAAAAATCTAACAGTAATCTGAGAAAAGTAAAATATATCCCGAGGATGCCAGGTAAGTACTAATTAAATGAACAGCTCATTTTGTATAGAGAAGATTGCAGTTTAAGGTCCTGAGTTTTTGATTTCTATTTCTTTGCTGTCACCCTAGTTGGTTTTTATGCCTCCTGAGGGTTCTTAGTTTTCTGAAACCATCAGACTATATAGGTTTAATATAATAGTGAAGCAAATCTCCCTGGGTCTTTCTCAAGTATCAAACAAAGCCTAAAATATAGCTTATGTATACTAGCAAATAAAATAAAATGAGATGAATGATCTGTGGCAAATGTTCCCAGAGAAAAACCAAGGATAAAGAAACATGCTTCTATGAAACTCACACATAGAAAAATAGTAAATTGCTCTCTGAAGTTTCCACAAAGGTATAAAAATTTATTTTACACTCTGTCTGGATGGATTAACAAGGCCATTCCTCCACCCCTTCCTTTGCTGTAAAACCTGACAGATATTAATTATAAGTTGGTACCAGACCATTATTCAATGCTGTGGTACAGAGCTTACATTAGAACTCACAAATTACCTGTATAATCAGATGCATACAGCTTCTGAAAATCTCTTTCAGGTCAAAAATATTAAACAGCTCAATTTTTTGAGCAGGTTCTTAAAAAATATGGAGTATCTGTACCATGGGGGAGAGCAAACTGTCAGCATGGACACAACTGTGCCACCTGGTTTCCTGTCAAATATTCCTAACATGACTAGATGATGAAGATTTCTTAGCCTCTCAGTTTATGTCATCTCTGTTTTATACTGTCAGAAGGGTTTTAGTCTCTTCCTTATTGCTATTCCTAATATCTGGGCTAACTCTTCTTTAATGGGCAAAAATAGCTCAGTAAAACTAAAGTCTAACCACAGAGAATCTGAAATATTTAGATTATTAGAAGTGAAATTTAATGTAAACTAACCAATTTTACTAAATATAAATCTATCATAACAAAAACAAGCTGTACAACTAATATTAAACTGCATTTGGTGTCTTGATCAAATAAAATTTGAAAAACTTAAACAGAAGAGAAATGATATAAAATAATTACACAGTAATTAGGTATTAAGAATAACTGTTTGTAATGATTATATAAAAAATTGTTCTACTCTGTTACAACCAAGTATTTCCAAGGTCAGAAATCAAAGAGAAGCAGCAAGCTTCTTAGTCTCTTATAGAGGGATAACCCTTACTTCTCCCTTTTTCACTAAGGAGAGGGTTTCCCCAAATGTTAGAGGAGGGCAGGGCTACTAATCAGGGAATCATTTCCTTTTACAGTAGTAATTTAGCTCCTTTAGTAAGAAGCAAAAATCAGATAAATTGAGACCTTAAAAAAGTTGCCAAGTTCTTACTTCATAGGGAAAGATATTTTGGGTTCTCAAGGACTTCACACTGGCAACAAATACTTTACTTTTTCCCTGCCCAGAGCCAGAGAGCACTTGAAGACATTAATCAGAGCAGTAAGAGTAAACGAAAGCCAGTTTAAACTCTAGCCATAATATGACCTGACATTCACCAATGACAGAGCTATTTATTTTTACTAATAAAAAACTTTAAACAGGAAAAATAGAGGATGCATTAATGCCTCATGACAGTAAGCAGAAGATGAATTAATATAGATATCTCAGAATGAGTTTGGATGAGAAGGGAAGAATAGAGGGGAAATAAAGGTAATTTGGAGTGCTGAAAGTTGCAAAGGGAAAGTTTGAGAAGCAAGAGGGAGGAGGAAAATACTGGTATCAGGAGTTAAAAACTAGAGCCCACAGGCACTGGTGAAAATAGAGATGCAGAAAGGAAGCAAAGAAAGTGAAAAAAGGAAAGAAAAGTAAACAGTTGTAAAATCTACAGGCCTAGACCAAGGTGCAGGAAATAGAGGGCTCTCGAGAAGAGTCTGTTGCAAACATCCATACATACACATGCATGAGCACACACATACATATGTTAAGAATTTAGGCTTCAACATCAATTTTAGCAGGCCCAAGTAACATAATTAAAGTGTCTTTCATTACAATGTAAAAATATTATCCTGCATGCTAAATCAGTATGTTCATTTATTGTTCCTCAAGAATTGCTCATTTATATGAAGCCTGTCTACCAAACTTGTCTAGTTTTTTTTTGTATCATTAATCTACAACTACATGAGCAACATTATGGTTCCTAGACACCCCCCCATTATCAAGTTCCCACCACATACCCATTACAGACACTGTCCACCAGCGTACAAAGATGCTATAGAATCACTACTTGTCTTCTATGGGTTGTACTGCCTTCCCTGTGCCCCCCACCCTACATTATGCCTTCTAATTGTAATGCCCCTTTTTGACCCTTATCACTACCTTCCCACCCATTCTCACCAGTCCCTTTTCCTTTGGTAACTGTTAGTCCATTCTTGGGTTCTGTGAGTCTGCTGCTGTTTTGTTCCTTCAGTTTTTGCGTTGTTCTTACACTCCACAGATGAGTGAAATCACTTGATACTTGTCTTTCTCTGCCTGGCTTGTTTCACGGAGCACAATAGTCTCTAGCTCCATCCATGTTGTTGTAAATGGTAGGAGTTATTTTCTTGCTATGGCTGAATAATATTCCATTGTGTACATGTACCACATCTTCTTTATCCATTCATCTACTGATGGACCCTTAGGTTGCTTCCATGTCTTGGCTATTGTAAACAGTGCTGTGATAAACATAGGGGTGCATATGTCTTTTTCAAACTAGGCTCCTGCATTCTTAGGGTAAATTCCTAGGGGTGGAATTCCTGGGTCAAAGTTATTTCTATTTTTAGTTTTTTGAGGAACCTCCATACTGCTTTCCACAATGGCTGAACAAGTTTACATCCCATCAGCAGTGTAGCAGGGTTGCCCTTTCTCCACAACCTCGCTGACATTTGTTTTTTGTCTTTTGGTTGGTGGCTGTCCCAACTGGTGTGACGTGATATCTCATTGTGGTTTTAATTTCCATTTCTCTGATGATTAGGGATGTGGAGCATCTTTTCATGTGCCTGTTGGCTATCTGAATTTCTTCTTTGGAGAAGTGTCTGTTCAGATCCTCTGCCCATTTCTTAATTGGCTTATTTGCTTTTTGTTGTTGAGGTGAGTGAGTTCTTTATATAATTTGGATGTCAAGCCCTTATCGGATACGTCATTTATGAATATATTTTCTATACTGTAGGATGTCTTTTTGTTCTACTGATGGTGTCTTTGGTTGTACAGAAGGCTTTTAGTTTGATATAGTCCCACTTGTTCATTTTTTACTTTGTTTCCCTTGACCGGGAACATATGATCATGAAGAAGTTGCTCATGTTTATGTCCAACAGATTTTTGCCTATGTTTTTTCCTAAGAGTTTTATGGTTTCATGACTTACATTCAGGTCTTTGATCTATTTTGAGTTTACTTTTGTGTATGGAGTTANTTGTTCTGTTGATGGTTTCCTTTGCTATACACAAGCTTTTTAGCATGAGGTAGTCCCATTTATTCATTTTTTATTTTGTTTGCCTTGCCTGAGGAGATGCGTTCAGGAAAAAGTTGCACTCCTTTATCATATATTAATTGACCGTATGTGCTTGGGTTTATATCTGGGCTGTGTACTTGTTCCATTGGTCTATGGGTCTGTTCTTGTGCCCGTACCAAAGTATCTTGATTACTGTGGCTTTGTAGTAGAGCTCGAAGTCAGGGAGCATAATCTCCCCCAATTTATTCTTCCTTCTCAGGATTGCTTTCTCTTTTTGGGGTCTTTTGTGATTCTATATGAATTTTAGAACTATTTGCTCTAGTTCATTGAAGAATACTCTTGGTATTTTGATAGGGATTGCATTGAATTAGTAGATTGCTTTAGGCAGGATGGCCATTTTGCCAATATTAATTCTTCCTATCCATGAGCATGGAGTGTCTTTCCATTTATTGGTATCTACTTTAATTTCTCTCATGAGTGTCTTGTAGTTTTCAGGGTACAGGGCTTTCAATTCCTTGGTTAGGTTTATTCCTAGGTATTTTATTCTTTTTGGTGCAATTATGAATGGAATTCTTTTCCTGATTTCTCTTTCTGGTAGTTTATCATTAGTGTATAGGAATTCAACAGATTTCTGGGTATTATTTTTGTATGCTGCAACTTTGCTGAATTCAGATATTAGATCTAGTAGCCTTGGAGTGTATTCTTTTGTGTTTTTTATGTACAATATTATGTCATCTGCAAATAGGGACAGTTTATCTTCTTCCTTGCCAATCTGAATGCCTTTTATTTCTTAGTGTTGTCTGATTGCCGTGGCTAGGATCTCCGGAACTATGCTGAATCAAAGTGGGGAGAGTGGGCATCCCTGTCTTGTTCCCGATCTTAAAGGAAAAGCTTTC